TTAATTAAACCCTCATTCAGGAAGATGGTTATCTTCACTGTTGGCAAAGGAGTTGGGTGAGGAGACTGAACTCAATTTCCTAAAACTTCCTGGAGTAGACAGATGTTCCTGTTTTTTAAGATTTCTGAGCCTTTTTTTTTTAAAACTACTTTTCTTCTCTTTCTCCCTTTCCTCCTGCCTTAAAATAGTGGTGATGAGGGAATCAGACACCCTTAACCTATCAGATGCCTGTTCAGTTCTAAATAAAAAGTCATTGGTACAATGTTGTATAAGTCTTATAAAGAAGTGCCATTTCATACACTTGTTATGTTTGCTGTAATTAATGTATAGAAAGGTGAGCCTTGGCAAGGGAACTGTCTTGTCAGGGTCATCTTTCACTCTGAAATAGCTGTCTTCTGTGTGGGGCTCTTTTACCAACACCACTTCATCCCTCTTGATAGTAGGATAGGGATTGCATTGGACACCTGACTGCCAGCCTCGTTTTGTTGGAGCCTTTTTATAAGCATATGAAGTCTCCAGGGTGGGAGGTGCTGTGTTGGGCACTGGGCCATTGCACCGAGGATGGCTGTCCTGCCTTTCTGAACGCCGTGCATGGGGAAGGGCTCTGCTGACGTGGGCCTCGCTCTGTTGTATGTGGTCCCACCTCCAACACTGCATGGTGAGCTCTTCGTGGGTACAGACCTTGTCTTTTAAGGGTACAGAGCTGACATTTTCAGCACATGGCAAGCAACAGGCTTTGGCAGGATGTTCCCAGTGACTGCAAGCTGAGTTTGGAAGTAGATGCTGAGGATTTTAAAGTTGTTCTTTCCCAACTATGAGATAGCTAACTATCTTCCTTTTTCAGAAGGATGTGGTTAGTGGACAGTGTGACAGTGTATGTACACCACCTCAGAAAGGCAGGTGATTTATTGAGGGAGGTTTTCATCGTTCACCTTCCTTTCTGTTTTTGTTGTTGTTATTGTTTATTGATTTCATAGAGAAAGGAGAGGGAAAGAGAGACAGAAGCATCAATGATGATAGAGGGTTATTGATTGGCTGTCTCCTGCACCCCTCCTCTTCCCCCACTTGGGATGGAGCCTACAAACCAGGATGTGCCCTGACCAGACATTGAACTGTGACCTCCTGATTCATAGGTTGATGCTCAACTACTGAGCTAAATGGGCCAGGCCACTTCCTTTCCTGTATCACCCTTTCTGTTTTCACTGCCCCTCTGAGACCCCGCCACCTCTGCCCTTCCTGCCCTTCTCTGTCCCTACTTTCCTTCCTTCCTCAGAGGGAGAAAAGCACAAGTAAGAAAACTGTGTGTCTGATTCTATCTCTCTTTGTCACCATGGCTTTCTGGTATGTGTTTGCTATGCCGTTATCTCTCTCTGTATGTGACTCAGATTATGTGCAGATCTTGGGGCTGTCAGAGAGTCTGGCTCTATGCTGGACAGGAGCCCTGCTGTGGATCTGTGCAGAGACCACTCCTGCGCCTGTTCCTGCCGTGCACGTGTCCTTCCAGAAGCAGGCATTGTGGGGAACAGGAAACGTGTCCTTTTGGATTTAACCCAGGGTTTATGTCCTCCTGCAGTGTGTGGTACTGGTGATGGATTAAACAACAGGATTTTCATATCTAGGTCATCTAATGCCTGGTCGACAACACCATAAAATCAGTACCCTGAAGTTCTCGGTGCAAGATGATGTGGGAAAGTGAGGGTGAAACTGAACCTGGACAGAGCTGAGCCTCATTGCTTACCCACTCCCCGCCCACTCCTCCCTCCTGTCTCTCCCCCATCCCCCAGCCCCTTGTGCCTTTTCACTGTTAAAAAGGAAAAACTAGGATGCTGGAGAGCTCAGGGTGAATAGCAGGGAGAAGATCCTAGTAACTTGTCTTGCAGAATCTTATTTCCTCCTGTTCAAGTGGCCTGTGTACAGGAAGCTGAATTGCTCCTGAAAAGCAAGGACATGAATCCAAGTTTTTGTTTTTTAACCAAACTTACATCAGAGGCTCTTCCACAGGTGGGACAGTGCTTTGGACACAAACTAATAAGAACATAGTTTGTTGAGTCTTTATTGTTGTGATGAAAACAACATGGGGAGCTGTCCTCCCAGAGGTGCTGGGAGGTGGGGAGCACCCTATCAGGCCACCGGTTGTGGGACTCCTAGCAGCTCTGCCCTCGCAGGGAAGATGAACACTGCCTGTTTCTCCCGTTCACAGATCTCTCCTACAGCAGAGCCCCAAGCCTGTAAACGGAGCTTGTGGCAGTCATTGACTATTCAAACCCATCGCTGTGGAACTTAACAGAAAATTCATCCTAAGAGAGTGGACTTGCACAGGAGACCCTGTTAGATGCGTTGGCATGCAGGAGCAGTAAGAGCCCTGCCATTGCAGGGGTATCCACCCAGTTCTCCTTGAGCAGAGTCAGACCCAGGTGCCCATGGAACAGGGGGTGTTTATTCCACCACGCAGTACTTACCCAGTGCCTGGTGGAGGAACAGAAGGGCATTACCTTCCCATACAGTCCTCAAGGAGGGGCGATGGGCAAATGGAAAGAAAACCGTGCAATTGTTACAGCCAGAGGAGTTGTTAGAGGACAGCACCAAACCCTGAGTGGGCATGGGAAGGAGCATAGGGCTGCTGCTTCCCAGGTGGTGTGGAGCAGGGCTTACAGAGGAAGGCTTCGGCTGGGTGCAGGGGGTGGAGGGCACACGGTGGTGTGAGAGGAAGGGCATTCCTGGCAGAGGATGCCGACAGGTGTCCTAGAGAAGGCCTTTTCAACAGGACTTAGCAGAAATGAGGCTCCTCATTGTGGAACTCTCAGCAGAGCAGACACGGGGGTCTGTGCCTGCTTTTGTAAGTCAAGCTATGTTGGTTCACAGCCAGAATAGTTCTGTCCCAGTGTCTGTGGCTGCATTCCTGGTACAAGCCAGAGTGGGTGCCTGTAACAGAGACCGTGTACTTACGATCTGGTCCTCGTATACTTACGATCTGGTCCTTCATGGGCAATGTTTGCCTACCCTTGACATAACTCTTGATGAGGAGGGCACACACTGTCGGCAGATATGCTTTGCCTGCTTATCTTCATGGACCTGTTTGTCCTTTTTACCCCCCGGTAATTTCTCTTCACCCCACACATCACATCTCCAACTCAGCAGCTACTAGTTTTGCGGACTTCCGGCTCTGAGCATCGGAACTGGAAGAGCATGTAAATAAAGGGGGCATTTTACCTAAGTGTCTCCTTAAATGTCTCATTTCCCACTCCCAGCTCTTCTAGACCCAGCTTCATTCCTTGGGACCCCTGCTGCTGCTTTGCTTCGTAAATGTGTTACAGAAAAATCGAATTAAAGCTAGCGATAGGTGCGGTAGGTATGGAGAAGAGTCCTATTCATTGGTAAGACCAGATAGTCAATAAGTGGATTCTGGAGCTGGAGGTTCCCTTATGAGTGAGAGAGAGAGTGCTTCCAGAGCGACTGTGCACTTGAAATATATTTTCCTGCAGGTGGTGAGTGAAAGTTGCGTAGCAAATGCCAGCTTATAAGTGTGGGCTCTGGTCTGTGTACTAGACATTAGCAGTGCTGGACTTTTTGTGTTTTAACTTACTAAATGGGAACTGGGTGAAGCAGAGTATGGTTATTCCCATTTTATGAATGAGGAAACAGGGACTTCAACAAGCTAAGTGCTTTCCATGTTGACTGTTAAATGGCACTGCCTCCAATATATGATAAGGAGGATATTGGTGTTATGTTTTAGTTATTCTTCTTAGCAAATTGAATGCTCATTGAAAACACTGAATCAAGAGGTAAAAAAAATATTAATAATAATAATAATAATAATCTGTTTCAGACTATGAGAAGAACTGGTTTTTAAGAGAAAGATACCACCAAAACTTCTCTTTGCACTCACCTCTCTTTCAGTCTCAGCAGCCACCAACACCATTTGTGCACCACTGTTAAATGATATTGTTGCTTGGATTTAATTTATCATTAGTACTCTGTGTAGATGGAAAACTGTCAGCATAGGAATGGTGACATTTTCCCTGCAGGTCTGGAAAGTATAGGAGGTCCAAAAAGAGGAGCGTGTAGGTTTAGGGTTGTCCTGCTAAAGTGGTCATTACTACACAAAAATATGACCCAACCATTCCCTCCTCAAAGCCTTTCAGAGCTCTGTCACACATTGGCACACATGGGAACTTGGTGCTGATGCCTTCCGAGTTGGGCCCCGCCTACTTGCCTTGTCTGACCTCCCGCACCTCTCACTGTCAGTCCGCAGGCTGGAACCACCTAGGTGCCTCATCATCTCTACCTTGTCCCTATCTGACTTGCTTCTACTCCATCTTCACAACTCAGCCAAGTTGTGCTGGACCTGGGAAGCCTTCTTTGACCCTGGGATGGGCATTCTGGCCTTGCCCAACCTGAGCATTGGTGTCTATCATGCTGCTCAGCTGTTTATTCATCTATTGTTCACCACTAAAGAAAATCTTCTTAAAGACATTCTTTGTTATTCTTACTCTGTAGTTAAATGAATAGGAATCTACTTGGGGCTAGCTAGTAGAAAGGGAGCTTGTGGTGAGGGAATATTTGAAGTAGGAAGGAGATTTTAGAGGCAATTTAAGAACTATGTCCATACAAATGTATCTCAGGGCTCTCTGCTCCCCACACATGGGTTCTACTCACCTCTCTCCTGCTGGCTGCCTCTGCTGGAGCACACGTTTTCACGAAGCTGCTCATGGCCTCAGTCTGTCTGCATCGCCTGGTGGGGCCATGGCTTTGTTTTCTGCACCCTATTTCTTTGGTTGCTCAGTTTCTCACTTGCAGATATCTAAGCAACCACTCTGATTGGTGTAGCTCACCCTTCCAAGCTGGGCCACACACATCATAGGTTTCCAGTCAGCCGTAGGTTGGCCTCCTCAGTCAGGTGCCAGCTGGGGGGGGGGGGGGTTACATGGGTCACAGCATGAATGTTAGGCTCGTTTTTCATAAACTTCATGGTATCCTTTGTTCTTTTTTATCTTTCACAGATATCATTAATGGAGCTCAAGAAAAATGTGTATTGCCTCCTATGGATGGCTACCCCCACTGTGAGGGGAAAATCAAGGTAAGGCCAAGTGATGTGTATTTATTTCCATCATCCTAGTTCTGCATGCCCTTCCTTAAAGGGGTAGCAGGCCCTTTAAGGGAGTGATAAGGGCTGCTTCAGTCCTGCTTGTTTGGAGCTGTGGCCATGGCAACTCTTCCCTGCTGTGCCAACTCCATGGGATTAGTCAACAGTGGCTCTCACTGGTCAGACTGAGAGAGCCTGGACCAGTTTGGTCCCCTTCTGTGTCTTTGAAGCAGCCTTTGAACATCCATGGGGATGTTCCCAGATTCCAGCAGGTGATCTTTCAGGGATCAGTGACAAGGGGCTGCCATTGTTTAGTGTCCAACTTCTCTCTCCCATCCCTGAGAGGAGCCCCACTTCTGAGGTCTCCAGGTTATCATTTAAATGTCATATTTACATTTGCAGTGAATACCCAGAGACACCTGACCATGATCTTAACATTTTTAAGAACCTTATTTATATGGTCTATCCTTGGGGAGACCACTCCCCTGCTCAGTGGTTCCCAGAGAAAAGTTTTGGTTCTGGGGTACAGTTAGGAGGGGGAGACCAAACCTCAGAAACGTTCACATGGTCTCCATTTGGGACTCCCACATTCATTCATGTACTCTTCATGAAAGAAACTGCTACGCTGGTGACACCAGCTTTCTGTGCAGAGGGGATTTGGGTGCAGGGTCCCATCAGGCACCTGCTCTTGATAAAACTCTCCTAGCGATTGCCTCTCCTGGGCTTTGTTGCCGTGTCCCCAGTCTCTCTCTACCCTTAACTAAGCACACCTGCCAATGCCCAGCTCAAGTCAGTGCATCTTTGGTTCGTGCAGGGGCTCAGCGTCTGTCATCCTGACCTCAGCTAAGTGACTGAGCTTAGGCCACAGCTTGCGCCGTACACACATCCTCTCCTCTATCAGCAGATGGGCAGGGTCACCTAGAACGGGCCATTGAGAGGTGTTCTTACCTGGCTCTTGTTGTTTCAGTGGATGAAAGATATGTGGCGCTCGGATCCCTGCTACGCAGAATACGGAGTGGATGGGTCCACCTGCTCCTTTTTTATTTACCTCAGTGAGGTGAGTGGCTTAGGAGGGGTGGATGGATGTGGTTAATAGGTTTTACAGCCACACCCGGAATTCAAAGAGCTTGAAAACAGGTAATGTTTATACATGATAGACCTGTGATTTATTTCTTCATTACTCTCCTCTTCCCCCTAGTACGATTACTTTTTTTTTTTTCTTTGTGGGAAAAGCAGGTTTAGCTAACTAATTTTTTTCCTCATTAAAAGAAATGCAGTAAAATACATGTAATATTCTAAACCATTAAGTGTACATTGAATACATTCATATTGCCCAGCAGCAGTCACCACCATCCATCCACCTCTAGAACCCTCCATCCTGCAAATATGAAACTGTGCCTTTTAAATTAAGCAGTAGCTTTTTTTCCTTTCCACTTCTGGCCCCACCATTTGCTATGGTTTTGACTACTCCAAGTATTCATATAAGTGAAATTATACACTATTTATCTTTTGGTGATCAGCTTATTTCACTTAGCATAATTTTCTCAAGATTTATCTATGTTGTAGCTATGTCAGAATTTCCTTCCTTTTTAAGGCTGCCCAATATTTTGTTGTATTATATGCCACAAATTGCTTATCCACTGATCCATTGATGGACACTGGATTGCTTCCACATTTTAGCTATTGTGAACATGGGTGTGCACATAACTGTGAGACCCTGCTTTCAGTTCTTTTAAGTATATATCCAAAGTGGAATGTTTGTTTGGGTCATAGGGTGAACTACTTTTTGGTTTTTGAGGAACCTCCAAACTTTTTTCAAAGTGGTTGCACCGTTTTATATTTTCACCAACAGTGCACAAGGGCTCCAGTTTCTCTACATCCTCACCAACACTTGTTATTTTCTGGGTTGTGGGGTATTTTTGTTTATTTTTTATAGTAACCATTCTACTGAGGGTGAGGTGACATCTCATTGTGGTTTGGTTTGCATTTCCTTAATAATCAGTGATGATGAGTGTCTTTTCCTGTGTTTGTTGACAAAATTAACTATTTACTTACAGAATGAGTTAATTTTCTCCTTTTTATCTGAATTTCATTTTTATTTGTACCCTTCAATTTGAATAGAAGTTTTTTTTAAGTGATACAGAACATTTAAGGTAAAGACCACATGCTTTAATGATCTTTTGTCATCTTTAGGAAAATCAAGCAGCGGAATAGAGTTAAGACTTTATCCCAGGCAAGGTGCACAGAAAAACTGACTAGGAAATCAAAACTCGCTGGCTTCCCCTCCACCTTTATGGAAATGGTGCTGGATAATTTCAGAGGATGTGCACTTGGCAGGCTCTCCGCTGCCATTTTTTTTTTTTTAATTCTCTCCCCCATTTTTATATGTGGTTGCCCTTTGGCAGATAGTGAATAACTGCTCCCTGGAGCTGCCATACAAGGAAGAGACTGCCTCCATTATGAGGCTAAAGGAAATGCTTTCCCATAGTTTTTCTTGTGGGATTCAGGTGCCTCTTTTCTGTCATAACATGACAGGAATAGCTTTGGGAGATAGAGGCCAAACAATAGGGCTTAAGTTATGTGGCCCTGGCTTCTGTGGGTTTATCCCTCTCCTACACCTTCACTTCTCTTGCCTCTGTAAGACCAGGCAGACTTTGTTTTTGGACAGGTTGCCCCAGTGGCCACCCTGCAGGATCTTGGGAATCCTCAGATCAAATGACAGTTAAAAATACCTTTTGCACACTAAAAGCACAGGGAATTGGGTGTGTATGCTCCTCATTAGCAGGCTGCTGGCAAACTGATTCTGTAGCATTTGTTGGAATGTTTCTAGCTTAGGTGGCCTGAGGTGAACTTCCCTCTAGTGAAAAGTCATTAGAAGTGCCTTTCCTGTCCTGAGTAAAAGGTTCCTCATTCAGTTTTACTTTCCAAAGTTTTCTTTCCTTTCCATTTGATAGAATTTAGCTAGAGTCCAACTGTGCTCCCTGATTGACGATCTGAGCTAATTTTACGCTTTTTTGAGAGTTGGACTGCTGGGGTGGGTTGTTGAGGTAAAGATAGAGGATTTTACATTCCCACTCAAGCCTTTTCCCATCTGGGATGGCGTAAGAGAATGGACCAGATGGAAAGGGACTGTGATTATTTGTGAGCTTGTTCTCTTCCTTTGAAACTGCCACCTTATATCTCACTCACCTAAAGGGAGGAGGTAGCTAAAGAGGAAAAAATAGAGAGATTCCAGGGAAGGTAAATTGCAAGGATGAGAAGCAGACAGAGCTGTATAGAGACTTAGATCATATATTCTTTTTTTTTTTTAAATATATTTTATTGATTTTTCACAGAGAGGAAGAGAGAGAGATAGTTAGAAACAACGATGAGAGAGAATCATCGATCAGCTGCCTCTTGCACACCCCCTACTGGGGATGTGCCCGCAACCAAGGTACATGCCCTTGACCGGAATCTAACCCGGGACCTTTTAGTCCGCAGGCCAACGCTCTATCCACTGAGCCAAACCGGTCCCGGCAAGGTCATATATTCTTAATAGTGGAGTCTGGGTGTTTCCTTTCAAAGCCTTTAACTACATTTTCTCTTTCAGAGATGTGAAATGGTTCTATTCCAATCTTTTCTTATGCAGATGATTGAGCTTTTCTTTTTGTTCAGTTGAATTCAGTTCAGTGAGCACTTATTGAACAACTATTATATTCATTGATTGTCAACAATCATTGAGAACTCATTTTCTTGGCACATTGCTATCCATTCATAATCTTAAGAGAATAATGGCAGAGAAGAGTGTGTGCAGATAATTTAATCAGGAGAATGGAAATAATTCCTGTGGGAAGACAATTAGGGACTTCTTTTTCAGTGTTTAAACCTGAAAATAACTTTGAAACTCTGGTCTTTTAAAACATTTTCACTTCATCATAGCACCTCAATAGGAACCCTATAAGAGTTAAAAGGAGAATTTCACCAATATGGCTGCTCCTATAGAAAGTACTGACTTACGGAGCACCTCGTACCTGACTTCAGCTTGTGTTTCTGATACTTTTTCAACTCTGTGCTTTTGGAAAAATTACTTGCTCTCTGTGACTCAGGTTCTTACTTTGTAAAATAATAGTTTTTATTTGGTTTATTTATTTTGAAAGGATCCTACCTTGAGGATTCCTGAGTGTATATGGGCCTGCCAGATAGATGACAATAAACCTAACTGATTCAATAACCAAACCCAGGTTTGGCTGCCTTTTTCAACAAAAGCCAAACTTGTGAGACAGGTGCTGGTGAGAAGGAAAGAGGTTTATTCAAGTGCCAGCAACCTGAGAACATGAGGAACTCTCATCCCAAAACTCATCTTAAAAACCAGTTCTTGTTTCCTTCTATGTTTACTTCATCTTAACATCTTAGTGCAGGCTAGGGTTTTCACCAGATTGAAGAGGGAAAGCAGAACAAAGAAATTAGTGGGAGAGGCTTTGGACAGTGCAGGATGTATAGGCTGTGCAGGACATTTTCTCATAGGCCTTAATATGGATGTTTATGGTCCCCATTCTTGAGTTGGCCATCTAGGCTTTTTTGGAAACTGAATTCCTGTTCACTGAGTGGTTGGTGTCAGCTGGCCCTTGAGGCTAGGCCGCTTCCTAGGTTCAAACAGGAACAGAAAATCCAGAATTATAAAGTATACTAAAAATACTAAGATTCAAACTCTAGCTTTGAGAGAAAAATCATTTAGAGTAACAGGCTGGGTTTAACCTTTGTTCAAATTAACCTGGATAGCTTTCTATAAATATTTCTATAATCTTACTCCGTTAGTACATTCTCTTTTAGTTCTATTCTATGGCTTGTCAGACAAATATAAGTAGTATAGCACATTCATTCCCCATTATAATACTTCTATGGTTTTTAATATTGTTATTTTTAGGACAATTTTGGGGCATCACATGCTTGTGACATTTTATGTGGGACTGTAAGTTTGTTTCTGAATTAGAGTCAAGTTCTGGTTCTCATTCACCAATCTAATTTAATTTTAGATTCCTTGACTTCTGGTAAAGTAGAAATTTAGCTGTTCCCATGGGCTTCTTTTTTTCTGGATAGAACACTTCTATTTGATTCAGGTTGTGAGCTGGATGAAGGAAATAGGCATGCACCCCTACCTTCGTTAATATGAAATTATTAGAGATGTTTTGTGAAGCAAATTAATTCAATTCTAGTATTTTTTAAATTGTGGACAATATCTAAGGATTTGTGGTGCTGTTTTCTCTCTCTCTCTCTCTCTCTCTCTCTCTCTCTCTCTCTCTCTCTCTCTCTCTCTCTCTCTCTCTGTGTCACTTTTTCTCTTGATTTCTTGAAATTTTCCTTCTTCATTTAACCTGTATCATATGCCAGGTTTGTCTTGTATTTGGAAAAAATTATTAAGAGAGACATCTTCATTTGATGTGTACTTGATCAGCAGGTGTACCATTGACTTTTATTCTTTTCTCAATACTTATTGAAAAGCCAGTTCTTGTTTCCTTCTATGTTTAACTTCAGAACTTTTACAGATAAAAAAGGACATGAAATAAAATGCCTCTCATATAGTCAGTCACCAGTTGAATTGAAGCATTTAGATTCAAACCAGTCTTAGGAGTTGACACTGTTCCTTCATTTGTCTTTCCCCTGGGTGTCTCAATGCGCCAACTTTCACTGAATTATAGGATTATAAACCACCTTTACCCTCACCAATTTGTAGTCTACAAATCATTTCTGGTAAATTCCAGGAAGTAAAGCCATTTCCCCTTATATTATCCCCACAGATGCTTGTTATGTAATACTTTATTAGGGATTAGATGTGGTAATAAAAATTTAGTCCTTACCCTTGTTGGGTGGAAGAATAAAACATTATTCAACCCCCACTATATGCCAGACATCTCAATGTCATTTAAACCTCTCCCAAATCTGAGTAATAGAAAGACAGTCACAGAGGCTTTAAGAGGATATGTTGCCCAGTACTTCTGCACTTTCATTACTGTTGTCCCTTCATGTCAAAGAAAAACTGAACTCAGCGAGGTGACTTGCTACCATTGACTTTGCACTTAG